CTTTCTTCCCTCCTCCCTTCCTTCCTTCCTTCCTTCCTTCCTTCCTTTCTCTCTCTCTTTCTCCTTTCATTTTAGTCATTTATAGACACTAGAAGAGCAGCAGAGGATCCATCTTGAAGTGCCTTACCTGGGGCCAGCCAGAAACCTGTGGAAGAGCTGGAAACTGGAACCAGAGGAAGGGCTGAATCCTGCATCAGCCTCTTGGTCCTTGGCACATTATCAGCCACCAGGGTCAGAAATCCCTGAGGGGACTGTGAAACCTCCAGGTTTGCAGATGATGCTGCAAATGCCACAGTGCTGGTGAGGAGCTCCAGGAGGAACCTCAAAACACTGTGTGAGATGACAAAAAAGTGGCAGGTGAGCATCAGTGGAGGTTAATTTAGAGAAACACACCCAAGAAAGAATAACCCAACCTGGAACCTGGGTGTATGAGATGCTACACTTGGAAATGGGAGATACTAGAAAGTGGATCACTGACAGCTCTCTGAAATCATCAGCTCAATGTGCCAAAAAGCCAAAAAAACCCCAGAATGTGCCATGAGGAAGGGTATTGAGAAGAAATCTTTGTCTTGCTGCTGAGCAAAACCTTGGTGTGCCCTCACCTCAGACCCTGGGTGAGGTGCTGCTCTCCAGTGCTTGAGGAATAGAGAGCAGAGAGTGGCCAGGGGGCTCCTTCCTTGTAGGTTGGACAAGATAAGAAGTCCTTAAGTCAGTAGTAAAAGAAACGGGCAGGATTCCCCATGAAAGGGTGGGGGGTTTCCATGGGAATGGACCAACAGAGGGTGGCCAGGTTTACTCAATCCTCCTCCCACTGGTGGAGATAAAATATGGGATAATTGATCCATGCTCTGCTCCTTTCTCCTGGTCCTCACCTGCACCTGACTTGGCTGAGAGCTGAGACCTGAGGTGAGTATGAGAACAGGGTGCAGCACATAAATGTTTCCCAGAAAAGCCTCCTGGACATGGAGCATTTGTGGGTCACAGATTTCCCAACCCAGAGGTGTTCTTTTCTTTAGGATGGGATTCTACTTTTTTCTCTTTTTTTTTTTTTTTTTTTAAAGGAAAAAGAAGACTTTGAAGACAAAGTTTGTTATTAGAGGTGACGTGCCAACTGTGGGGAGGTGCCAAGTGCAAGACTTTATTTTGACTGCTGTCTCATGAGGAAAGCTGGCAGCTGGAAGGGCAGGGAGGCATGTCCTGGAGAAGGTGAAGAATTTAGCCAGACTGCTTTCAACAGCCTCTTTGATGCTGGGTGGCTGAGAAAACAGAGCTGTGCTCTCTGTGGGACAAAATATCCTTTAATAATTGTCTTCTGGGTCACACTGGGTTACAACTTGAACTGCTGCATGGACCCAATTCAGGCAGCAGACCAGGGTTTCATAGACTGGAATCATAGAATCATTCAGGTTGGAAAAGCCCTCCAAGATCATGGAGTCCACCCTGCGCCCCATCCCCACCTTGTCCCCCAGCCCAGAGCACTGAGTGCCAGGTCCAGTCCTTCCTTGGACACCTCCAGGGGTGTCATTTAGCTTTCAGGCTGAATGAAGAAACAGTTCTGTGTTCAGGGAAAAGAGATCGCAAATGGAACTCGTACAGATTGAGAGGACCATCAGTGCTTTGTAGGCACAGTGTGAGAAAGACACCCAGGTTAAAAAAAAAACCCAAACACATTCTTCATGACAGCCCACATGTTATTTTCCTGCAAAATAACTGTCTCCCCTTATCAGGATCACAGGTACTATGTAGCAGGGTTTGACTGAATATTAGGAAGAAATCCTTCCCTGTGAGGGTGGGGAGGCCCTGGCACAGGTTGCCCAGAGAAGCTGTGGCTGCCCCTGGATCCCTGGAAGTGTCCAAGGCC